ATTTAATATTGAATTGTTTTAAAATAAGAGGCTAGATAGAGTATAGATACCCCAAATATGGCATTACTTCTTGAAAATATAAGTTCTGCTCCAAATATGCATACCAAAATGCTGTTGTGGTCAATTCTAACTCCCCTTGAAATTCCCACATTCAGAATGTTAGCAATGACCCCATTGCTAACATTGAAAAGGGACTAATAAAATTGTAGTCCCTTTCTCCAGTTGCTATGTCATCACCTTTCTGGGTAAAAATGCTTTATTTTATCACGTTAGACTCTGGTGCATAGGGCAGATGGGAGTTGTAGTCCAGCAAAATCTGGAGGGCACTGTGATGACTACCTATGCTCTAACTCAGGGATGTCCAACAGGTCAGTCGCAATCTACTGGTAGATCCCCATGAGGTTTTGGTAGATCATGGTCGATTTCTGACTCCTGCCATGCCCCTTCACCCTGCCATCCATTGTTGAATGATCTCTGGAAGTTTTCTCTGTGCTGATCCATAGCGATTTTTTTGTGAGTGACTTTACCTGTTGTTTGTGTCTTGCCTTTAACCCCCCCAAAAAACGGAACTTCCCCCCCAAAAAGCCTTTTTTGTAACCCCCCAAAAGCGGGGTCTTTCTCCCCCCCTAAAAAAAAGCTCAACAAGTTTGAGCTGAACACCCCAAAAAAGCTCAAAAATGGAGGTAGATCACTGCCAGTTTTTAATTCTAGAAGTAGACCGCAGTCTCTTGAGAGTTGGCCACCCCTGGCTGATGCCTCATATCTCTCTCTCTCTCTCTCTCTCTCTCTCTCTCTCTCTCTCTCCTTCTGCTAGATGACTGTCACACCCTATTGGCTTCTCTGGCTAAATTTGAGAGAGCATTCAACATATATCTGTGGCCTGGTTCACACGTAACACTAAGCCAAACTCCTAGATGCTTTGCTCCTTCCTTTTTTTTCTTTTTTTGCTGCTGAGCTTAGCCACGGTTTGGCTTAGTAAGTTGTCAGAACACGGGATTGTGGTTTAGGTTTCTCCATACAAACCACAAGCTGTAACCATTGGGTTCCTTGTGTTTTACAGCTTGTGGTTTTCTGAAAGGGCTTAGCCATGAACCCAGGTTTGTTCAACACAACACAAAGCCAAACCTTGCTCTTCCCCAGTTTTACTGCTGAGCTAAGTGGCTGCAATCTCCTCTCCAGGAACTTGCACATTTGTTTGTGCTAAGTTTGGCTTAGCATTGTGTGAGCTGGACCCCTGATCTATGTGGCTTGTATTCTCTAGGCCCAGAGTTCTTTATAGTTCCTGCTGAAATTGTGTTTGTTTATGTTAAGCCATGGTATCTGTCCTCTTACATTACAAGTCCTATAGTTGTTGGCACAAGCTCTCTCACTCAGTCTTCTACTGCTCTAACACTGCTTCTGATTGGCTCCAGAAAATCTCTCAAGATTTTATAATATCTTGATACCACATATAGAAACAGGCAATCAGTTTTCACAAACTCCTTCAAGCATGATCTATGTTGGGGAACCTGTGGCCTTCAATATATTGTTTAACTAGAGTTCTTATCACCCTTGACCATTGGCCATGTTAGCTGAAGCTGATGAGAGTACAGGAATATCAGAAGGACTGTGGATTCCCCATCCCGATCTACAGTTTAACCCCATTATTAAGCTTGCAGATCCTCTCCACCCTCCATTCAGACCACCAAGCTCAAGTAAAGTCTCTCCCTGCCTCCATGTTTGAGAGCTGCATAGATACATATGGTCATTCAGTCTATGTAAAAATATCCCCAGTACAGAATGTATATTTTCATATTATATAAATAAATTTTAAAATCTGTTTAGAGACAGATTTTTAAACAATTACACAATTGTTGCATCACTGGGAAAGCAGACTTTTTTTTTTTAACATACTGTGGTTAGAGAGGGAGACTGACTTTGGCATCTTTTCAGAACCCATTTGTGAATATAGCCTCAGCAGTTTGTTTAATCAAACATAACCCTAATACATTTTACATGGTACCTCCCAGCTGAGGCTGGTCTCTAACAACTAGTGTATTCTGCAACGAGTTGCTCAACAGATGTCATTCTGGTTGAATAATGAAGCAGAATACTTGTGCGTTGGCTAACGTTACTCGAACTTTGATCACTTTTGTTCAGCACATCAGTCTGGCATTGTGCTTTATACCAACATAACACTATAACCAGAGCATGCCTTTCAGGCTTAGAATAGCAAAGGAATGTTATTGAAATCAGTGCAGTTACAGATGAGTGAATGGAAAAAGGAGAATACTGTTTATTTCATAATACTGTGGTGTTGTACTTTGGAATTAGAAAGGAATGTAAGGAATCCAACTCCAGATTTTAGTTATTTTTACTTCACAGGCTTTTTGGAAAGAAAACTTTTGTTTCATTCAGCTTATGTGGCTGCTTTAGTATTTAATGTTAGTCAACAAAAATCTTAGTTTTTGAGACTGATGAAATATTCATAATTATTGAAATGAAATGTATCATGTTTGTTGCTGTGATAGAAAATATTATTTTGCGCTTTATGCATTATTTCTAGACTTGCCAAAACTAACAGATATTTTAGAAAACACAGCATAAGATTATTATATTTTGGAAACCAATTTGTATTAGTTGCCAGCTGAGGTGGGATGTGCATATTATAAATAAAATAACAAATTTACTCATAGCTGATGGGTAGATCTGCCACTGTCACCAGAGAAAGTGGGCTCCATTGACTTCTCTGTGTGTATATCTATATATGGATATAGATGATATAGATATACCATATTTTTACGTGTATAAGATGAGGTTTTTTTGCTAAAAAACATTAGTAAAGAATTGGGGGGGTCATCTTGTACATTGAGCTTCCTCAGCTACCTCTCCTTGCCCTTCTTTCCTTTTTCCCCTCTTCCCCTCTCAAACTCCCACCCTGCCTCCAGCCCGCTCACCACCTTCCTCAGCCCAGTTTGCTCGATGGCATGGCCTGACATAGAGCGGCCGCTGCCTTCGCCCCGGCTCTTCCTTGGCATCCTGCTTGGGAGCCTGCTTCCCCACAGAAGCAGCTGCCACCGAGGGGGAGCGTGTGCTGCCCCAGTTGCTGCCTTTGCTTCTGCAACACGGTGAACTGCATGCACCTCATGCTGGAAACTTTGAGGGTGATCGCCCTCCAAAATATCAACAACTTGCCACCACCCATTATCCAGATTTGCACTTCTGTTTGAGGGTTTCATTTCCTTAATTTTGGGTTCAAAAATAGGGCTTATCTTATACATGGGGATGTCTCATACATGGAAAAATATGGTAGATAGACTCGCAGTCCATGAGATACACCACTGCGACACCGCCACCATCTGTTCCAGGTCCAAGTTTTACTATGGAAGCCTTGCAGTGTATACATGGTCGTTTTGCCTATTAAGTCCCCGGTTGGCTGGGAGGCACAGGGTGTTCTTGGCATAACAGCGTAAGTTTGGCAGGCCCCTGGCAGGGACCCCCACCAGCTTAGCCCTCCAAGGCTTGGGGGAAATGTACAGGCTGCCCCCCCCCCACATACTGCATGGGTGTGTATGTAGCTGTCAGTAGGCTTCCAATAAAAGATGGCGCTTTATGTCCATTGTGTTGCACAATACTATCCAGAAAATTAAACTGCTCTGTGGTTTGGTCTAGACTCAGGCTGATGGTGGGGTGAAAGTTGTTGAGGTTCTGGTGGTATTTTCCATAATGTTAATTTCTATTTTCTAAATTGTTCGTAGTGGTCTAGTATTCTTAATATTAAAACCTAATACTGAATTTTCTTCAAATAGGTGCATTTTATTTCAATAATTACACAGGTTTCTGCAGTTGCAGAATTTCCAAGTAGTTACTTAACATTATGTATTAAAATAATGAATATAAGCAATATTTGTTAAAAACATATATTTGAGAGATCTTTAAGACCATACTTGAGACCATTCCAGTTGAAGAAGTGGAAAGTCAGCCTCAGCCTCAATCCTTGTAATTGCATGATACATTTTCATAATCTTCAAATCATCCTTTGAATGGGATCTGATGGAAGTTCCACAGGGGCGCTTCTCATATAATGGGTTAGAAAAAAATAAACATGCACCTAGAGCTACAGAGAACAGTAGCAGGCAGGCGTAGGTGCTGCAACAAGTAGGTGTTGCAAGATATCAGTGGTCCTGAACTGTTTGTGCACAACTAGTGATTGCCTGCCATGTGGATAGTCCAGCATTGTGTACATACATCAGTAACATGAGAGAGGGCCTTCTTTGTATAGGCGTGCAGAATGTGGATTTCTCTTCTGTCCACCTATGGCTGGCACCAACTCTGTTGAGTTTCCAGCACTAGCTGAAAACTTGCTGATTTGCTCAGACCTTTGGAGGAATTTGCTGAATTGCAGGCCATCCTGTTGGTTTTAGGGTCCTGTTCTGTTGCTTTATTTTAATATGCATTTTGTTTTGATTTCAATGTAACATACTCTTGACATAACCTGTTCTGGGATTGCCTTGGCAATGAAGAGTAGGTGAGAGATATTTAAAATAAATAACTGAATACTGAACAACTTCAGTGCATTCACTTTCCCTTAATTTTGGTACATCACAGCAACAGATACTAGGACCCTGGACTGTATTTACATGGGGTGAAAAACATCTTATGCATGTCAGTCGGTTACGGTTTACTAAATACACAGTGCCCTTTCTGCTTACGCTTGGCATTTTAAATCCATGGGAATATCTTTCAAATAACTCTGTTTAGAAGGTGGTGGTCCAGTGGATGTAGCCTTTGGCTTGGATTGTAGGTGTCTTGAATTTGGGTCCCAGTTCCCATTGAGGTCTCTGTGGTTGCCTTGAGCAAAGTGTCGTTTCTCAGCTTGAGTTCCACAGCAATATCTGAATCGCTGAACAGGATTGTTTTGAGGCTGAGTGAAATTGTTTGCACATTTTAAATGACCCTGCAAAGGATGAATAGTTTTGACAACATCAGTTCGCCTAAACAATTTTGTGTTGTTTCTGTAGGTTAAACGAAATGTGTATGACCTGACTAGTATCCCTGTTCGTCATCAGTTGTGGGAAGGCTGGCCTGCTTCTGCTACAGATGATTCAGTAAGTCAAAATTTACCGGTACTTCATTTTTTTAGTACATATGATGGTTTTGTTTTCAGACTCTATGGAAAACATTTCATTTTTACTATACTCCTGTGTGTCATGTAATTGTGGAGTTGGTCCAAGCTCCTGAAGTTATATTAGTAATTCAATATTTGGTGCTTAACTGTTTGACTGATCCAGTAAAGCACTGAAACATTTATTTCATAAGCTGTTCTGAATAGGTCAATTGAAATGACCAGAGCACAGTCAGAGCACAGTCCAGGATTTCTACTGCCTGGTTTGGAAGAGGCCAGAACAGGCTGTGCGCCTACATTGTGTGGCTTGGGAGTTTCAAGTGTGCCAAGTGAGTGAGAAAGAGAACAAGCCTCCTTTACGGAGGGGCCTTCATAGAGACCTGGCCAGTAGAAGATGGCTGACTCAGATATGGGATATGGCTTATATGGCTAAAATAATCAATAGAATAAGAGTAAGGGAAGGAAGGCACAGATGGAAGACTTCTTGAAAATGTAGCTTGTTTATTGCAACAACACGGTACAAATACTCTTAATTCATATTACATGGGGGACATTTGAGCTATAAAGAATCAAATCTGTAACAGCTACGAATGCTTTTTGCTACTATTTCCATTTTAGTAAAATAGGAAGGGCCTTATTAGTGGATGTAAGATGTAAGATACACTTAATGTTGTAAGTTAACTATTGTTTTAATAAAATTTGGAGTCTTTTTTATTTTTTAAAAAGGTGAAAAATAGTAGGACCACATAAATATGATGTTCTGTGACCCCCATTCAGGAAGATCAGCCAAATTCAAACAACATTTGAGCACGTGCTTAAGTACTACCTGAAATGTTTAAGGCTTCAGTTCTCTGCATACTTTTCTCTAGTCCATTTTCCAAGGTTTAAAAGTCAGTCTGTGACAGGAAGGAAATAGGACTGAAGGAACCTCCTGTCTTTGCTCATCAAAAAAGGAAAAGTTTTACTATATGTGTGCTAGTCATAGGGTCCACTTTAAAAAGGCTTTTGGGATTAGGGCTATAAATCATGTTTTAATCTTACAATAACTACTGCAATGGCTGTGATTTCTTTTGCAACCTGTTGGGAAATGTGCTGTCTCCCTGCATTTAATTTATTTAATTAAATTTTTATTGTTTTTGCATCCTGAGTTCAAAGAATGGCCGCACATTGCTGCCCATTTGGCAGAACAGTGCCACACTGATATTTTCTGGGAAAGTAGCTAGTCCTTGTGTTGGAAGTAGAACTGAAGCTTTAGATAAAAACAAACATAGACAAGGTTAATTGCAACCTCTGAAATATATTGGTGTGTTGTCATCTGTTGCTATTTGAGTTAAGGCCAGAAAGGATTTGAAAACCCATGATTTCTAATCCAAATGCCAGCAGCTGTTTGGAAAACAGCCAACAAAAACATAACACCTCCTTGTAGGATAGGATGTCCAGCATGTATAAAATGCACAAATCTGTTTTTAAACTCTGTTTTAACAAGTGACAATGTTGCAGGTGATATTTTTTCTTTCTTTTCAAGTTTAATGAAACTGGTGATTGTTAAGTCATCTGCTTTTCAGGCAGACGAGTCCAGAAAGCTCCCAGCTTGAAACTACTGCAGCTGAGGCCTGTCAGCTGTGTAAACAGTTCTGAACGTGTTACTCCCAAAAATATAATTAATTTCTATCTGAAATTAAAGCCACCAACTTAATATTTATGAAGATTTAACATTAGCAATAACAGTTAGAACACTTCTCTCTCTTTTGTCATTTATAGACAATTCACTCAGAAAGTTTATCGCCTAATAGTCCCCTGTGTCAGATTCTCCCCCTTTCTTTTTTCATTCCCCTTCTTTTGGTAATAACTTAATTTTTGACAGAAAGATGTCTCAATGGTACTACCCAAGAGCAGAGATCTAACTTTTAACAAAGAGTTAAAGAAGGACTTGATTAGAATACTTTTCATTTACATTTTATGCACCATAAGAAATACTTTGTAATACCACAGGAGGTTTTTTCAGTGCAGTTCTCGTTAACCTTTGCCTTAGCAAACAGGACAACTAAATAGACTTCCAATAATTAGATTCCTGTGTAATCGAGTCTCCTATGAACCTCATAAGCTTCAATCTTCTGCATTACCAGAAATGCATCAAAGTCAAGAGCTTTTTAAAAAGCAATGTTACTGCACTTCCCTTTAGAGCAATGGCATGTTCTTCATTTGTCGTTTTAGGCTAATGACATACGGGAAAATGTAAGAGATGCCAATAACTCTTTCAATTTTTTTCTTAAATCAGTATCTAAAAGTCTACTGGTAAGGGGAATGTTTTCATGCTGTATCAATTTAACTGAGAAACAAGGATGTTGAAAGATAGCTAAGATGTTGTTTTACCTTATGAGAATGATATTTCTCCCCAGCATCCACAGAGTAGGAATAATGCTAGCACTGGGAATTTGTAATTGCTTGCTCTAATTAAAACACAGTATATGATTTTCATTTCTCCAATTTTCAGATGATCTACTTTTGGGGGGTAGGGATCTCTCTGATTGGAGCTAAAAATATTTCGCTTGCCATGATATTTCTTTTTGTTGTTTGCCACTGTCAGTCAATATGTCAGCTTAATAATGTCTGGTGCAATTAGGGTAGTGACCTCCCAACTGTCTCCAAGATGTTGTAAAGCTATTGGGGGTAAAACTACAGGGGCAGGAAATCAGTTGTACACAGTTTGTGAATACGTTCCATTAGCACTTTGGGTTTTTAATAGAAACTATTATTGTAGTGAACATAATTGACTTAAAATGGCAACAAGAGCCACTTTACTTCCTATAGTCTCCTCAAACACTTGTGGCCACTTTAAGACCCAGGGTGGACAATGTAGGTCTACCTTCCCCAGCGTGGTACCTTCCAGATGCTTTGGATTACAAGCCCCATTAGTCTTAGCGGGCATGGCCAATGGCCAGGGATGATAGGAGTTGTAGCCCAGGACATCCGGAGGGTGCTGGGTTGGGGAAGGCTGATGTGGGACCTGTGGGCCATATACAGACCAAGAAAGCTTTCACCAGCCTGCATGGTCAGTGAGAAATGTGGGTGACTTTCCTACATGCCATTCTACATTGCTTACACTGCCTTAAAATTACTGGAGCCCTTTGCTTCTATAGCCCTCCTAGTTGTTACAGCCCTGAAAGGGCAATGTGACTAAAAGGACTATGGGCCTGAGCCTTGTCGTCATGTATCTCCTTCTGACTTTCCTGTGTCCAGCTGTATTTTTCCCCTGTGGGATTTTTTTTTCTATTTGTGGAGATTCCATACATGATTAGAAAGTGATCTATTTTAACAGTCAAGTTCCATTCCATTTCAATAAATCAGGGTCACACAGGAGGGTGTGGACCTGCCTCTGTGTACAGAAGCTTCTAGTTCACTGCAGAAGGTGTAGGCTAGGACACTTCACTCAGCCAAAGAGGCTTATTCGGGGCTGTTCAGTAGTGCCATCATGCATATGATATTTTCATCATGCGCTAGGACTTCTGTACCCATGGGTGGAACTGCAAGAATTCTGCTTCTCCAATTTGCTTGCTATTTCATGTGTTTCTGGTGAACTGTGGTGAGTGCTCCAGCAGAAAAATAACACAATACCCTTTCATAAATAAAGACTTTTTAAAAGTTCAGTGTCGATCACATTTTTTATTTACCTGACCCTCAAAGGAGGTCATAAAGAGTGAAAAGTTAATGTTTTCTGAATATGAGTTAATTTAAGAACAGATCTATGCTATTTTTCAGGGGAGTTGTCTCTTGGAGAAAGAAGAGAGAAAATAAAATAATGCTTTTCTCCAAAAAAGGAGAAAAAGACTGAGACAAAAGTTAATTTGAGAGAAGAGATATTCTATTAGGCAGATGATAAAATTAGATAATTGGCTGTTGACTACAAAAAGAGATACATGTGTAAGTAGTGCCAGCCAAATCATGAGGCAGAGTAAGATAATTGTCTCAGGTGTGCAAGTGACAAATTGGTGCACCCCGAGACCCTCCATTCACCTCATTGTTGGTTGCTGGTATATAAATTTAGTAAGTAGTAGTAGTAGTAGTAATAATAATAATAATAATAATAATAATAATAATAATAATAATATATTGATTGAAGAACTATCATGATCATTGTGTAACACAGAAATAGCAGTTAGAACATGTTTCACAATTACATATCCCTACTTGGTGTAAGACTACTTTATTTATGCCATTTTTTTAAAGATCTAGTTTGTTTTGTTCAAATAGGACAATATAATCTGTTACATGTAGTATACTTTTTTTTTAGTGTAGTGAATTCTGAAAGCTGCATTCTAAAGCAAACTCATGGAAGCGAAATTGTCAGAAACCTCTCTTCAGGGTTAGGGGACTTCCTAAGTAGAATGGGATGGGTGTAGGTCTTCTGTTCAAGGGGAAATTGGCCATAATTGGGTAGATTTAGGCAACTACCTTATACTGAGTCAGATCTTTGGTCCACCTAGCTCACTATTATCTGTGTTGACTAATGGTGGTTCTCCAGGTTTCCAGCAGGAGAGCTTCCCAGCCCTACCCTGGAGATACCAGGGATGAAATCTGGGACCTTTTGCATAAAAAGCACATGCTCTGTCACTGAGTTATAGCCTACCTTCATGATTCTGACCCACCCCCCAGCACATTCCAGATGGTTTCTGTAGAGGCGTTTTGAGGGGTACAGCAGACTGCACTGGGGAAGAAGTAATGGAAAAGCCATTATTTTCAGTATCCAAATATTGTGCTATGGACCAAATTCCAGGATTCATTTTGACAAATTTGAGGAAGAACTTATCCAGAGATGCTACGGGTGGTATTCAATTACAATTTTTCCACTAGCGCAAGGGGATTTCCCTTCTCTCCTCACTCCCATGTGCCCCATGATATCTCTGAATCTGCTCTGGAGGGTTGGGGGGGGGGACCCATAGCAAAATTGTAGGAGCATGTGGGGGGGAAGAGATGAGGAGATTG